TCTCAAGTTTCTTCATTTCCCGTTCATGTGCTCTGACTTCCCGTTGCAAGTCTTCTGCCGCTTTCCTCTCCTCTTTCTTCTCTCTTCCTCTTTTCTCTTTCTTTGAACCTCTGCTCCTCTTTACACCCAAGTACGTATTTACGCAACTCTTCCCCTGAATATCCCAATTCTTTCCCATCAATTATATATTGAGAATCCATGGTAAGAAATTTGAACTATTCAGGTAATTGAACTTCTGTATATTGACAGAACATAAATTTAGGATAAACAAGAATATCCCGGACGAGCCCCCATATGTGAGATTGTTATCTCAAGGTTCAGTAAACAGAAGATCTTTCCAAGTCTAATTATCGTAACTGTTAAGCAGAGTGGCGCATAAGAGTTATCTGAGAGCAATATTGAGAGTAGCGACGTAATGAGAGGAGTCGCGAGAGAAGGACTCCGCTGTGCCCTAGAGGATGGACAACAATACTTACAATTAACACCAATGAATAAATAATCTGACTATATTAGCACGATATAACCTTCACAAATATAGAAAACCATAGTTAACCTCGTCCAACTCATACCTTAGAGTCGTGCTCTGCAGCCTAAGTAGCTCAGACCACCTCGCAGGGACATACAGGACGAAGTGCTTCTAATTCTATGACTAGGCTCAAAGAAAGGTTGCATGCCTGTCAGTAGTACGGAATGGGCACTACAATACTACAGTTAAGATCTGCAGAGCAAAATTCCAAGTCAACTGTGAGAAGATCCAAACACGTATGAAAGTTGATAGTTGACCTTGCTTTTATAATGCTTTACTAAATAGTGATAAACTGTTTGTGTAGAAAGAATATTATGGTTTGAGACTTTTTAACAAGTCTGTGAATATTTAGGAATCCTTTAAGTATACTTGTATTTGCTGATTTTTAGTGATAAATAAATTAATAGATGATTGATTTAAGAGATGGTTTTAGACTCATAAAAACTGTAATTCCAACACAGGGTGTTGGAATTATGGCACACAGCCTGACACAGGGTGTCGTATTCTGACACAGGGTGTCAGAATTACGAATTACGATTTTGAAGCACTGTCAGAATTAGCCTCACAATGTGCTGCTTTTAGTCACATGCAGTGTCGGAATTCAGCGATTTTGTAGATTTGAATTCTAAAGGCTTTTAAATGAATATGGCAACAGTTTGTGACGTTTCATCATTGCTGGCTCATAGTGTGGTGTTTTGAGAGTGATGTAAACCAATCAGAACTTGAGTTGCACATACAGTGATCTATTTATAGCCATTTATTTCTTTCTACATCCTTAAGGTTTCGGAATATGGTGTGTTTACCCTAAGTCCCATGCACATGTTACCCTTAATATTTAATTTTACCCTAAAAACAGTCAACACTAACAATTGTCTTCAATCAAGTGGCAACTGATGACCGCAACTATGCGATCTATTAACTATAAAGAAATGTTTTTGATTGACTTGTTATTTTTTTGTTGTGCAGGATATTTTGGTGGGATCATTGAAAAAGTGGGAGTTGCAGAAGTTGGAAATTTTATGAAATGACATATTTGCAGAGTACAAACTACAAACCGCAATTTTTTCAATCAAACAAAAACACATGACATTAGAGCTGGGAGATTTCATACCTACTGAAATTATATGATATTAGAGCTGCAATATTTCAGAAAAGAATAGGACTTTTCCAGCCCTGCCAGAGTCTAGAGAGGCAGCAAAGTCTGATCCACAATTTGGTAATTTTGGTTGCAATGCAATTGTCAACACTCAACTGGTCAGGGGTCCTGACCAGTTGTCAGGACCCCTGTTCTATTTTTTTCTGATATATCGTGGCTAATGTCATATAATTTCAGTAGGTATGAAATCGCGCAGCTCTGCTGTATTGTATTTTATTTTGATTGAAAAAAAATTGCAGTTTGCACTTTGCAAGTATATGTCATTTCATAAAATTTTCAACTTCTGCAATCCACATTACTTTATCGTTCCCACCAAAATATCCTGCAGAATGTAATCATCATAATGATAACAAGTCAACCTAGATGTTTTGTCAAAGATTGTGCATAGTTGCAGTCATGTCAGAGCAGTTAGACTGAATTAACACATGTTCAGTTTACAGTAAAAATGAATGTTATTGTTGCCGTTTGACTGTTTTAGGGTAAAATTAGAGATTTTGGGTACCATCAACTGGGGTGACTTAGGCCAAATTACACTAGTTTCTGCCCATCAAATTCCTACAAAATAGGAATGAGGCGGTGCTGGTGGTTATAAATTTGTAAATATATTACTGAAATGTTCTTCTTTAAATATTTCATGTCTAAATTATGTCACTTGTATTTTTTAATATTTTTTTTAAATTAGCTGGGTGGCCGGTGTCACCCTGTGATGGGGTGACTTTGGCCACATGTGTTAAAACACAGTAAAAATGTAGTAAAATGATTTTGTTGCCAAAGTCGACCATTAGCAGGGTGACATCGGCCACATATCAAGAAATTTCTTTTAAACTGCTGAACAGATTTCAACAAAACTTTGTATATAAATACCTAACCTCCCAACGGTGATGTTTAGCTCATGACAATTTTTCTATTTTGCTTTTCACGAGTTATACAGATATAGGAGGAATGACCGGCTTTTCTACCGGCTGGTTTAACCAAGAGCAGTTTACATATATCCATGTATGTATAGCCATATAACTTGCAAACAAAGGCAAAAAGAAAAATTTGTAGCAAGCTATACATCACCACTGCTGAGGTTAGGTATTTAAATACTAAGTTTTGTTCAAATCTTTTCTGTAGTTTTGGAAGAAATTTCTTGATTACTGCAAATTTAAGCACATATTTCTGTTTAAATCATGAATGAACAAAAAGTTGTAAACAAAGGCACAATCAAATAAATTTTCACAAGCTAAACATTACCATTCAGTAGTTAGGACTGTAAATTCAAAATTTCGTTCAAATCTGTTCAATAGTTTAGAAGAAATTTCTTGATCATTGTGAATTTTGGCCCGTATTAAAATACAACTATGACAAAAAAAAAAAAATGAAGGCAAAATGAAAAAAAAATTTCACAAGCTAAACATTAGGTACCATTAGGTCCAAATGAACACGTGTACCAAGTTTCATCGAGTTAAGTTCATTAGTTTGAGTGATATTCCTTGATCATTGAATTTGGAAATTGGCCGTGAGACTAGCCGGGAGTCCGGCCGTTAATTTGTCTGAGACATAAACCCAGGAGAGGTCAAAAACACAGATCTGGGTGAAAAAAAACCATTGCTGGGAGTCATGTGCTGCATGTGTTGTGTACAAATTGTCAAACAAACATTGGAACTTCCGACTTTGACTTTGAACTGCCGCACCCTAATGCCCTCTTCTTCCTTACCTCCCCCCAAAATCTTTCCACCGCCCCTAGGGGGGCAATATCGCCCACTTTGGGAACCACTGTCCTAGAATATATCATCTTGTGCATAGGCAATGTATTTTTTTGTATATGCATTCAGAAGAGATCTGGGTATTTTTTGTAATTTACTGATATGGTATTATTATTTTCCAGGGACTAGTTATATAATCAGTTTCAAAACAAAACATTTGACTTGATATTGATATTTTCAGTGATATTTTCAGCATTGTAAGCTTGTTCTCTTTTGTGTTATATAAACTTGAATCTTCAAAAAATATGGCAGAAGATCTGGGAGAGAGTTTGAGAACTTATAAGATCCATCTTGAACAGGTTTGTATATAATTTTAACAAATTTTATTAAAGACCATAGCATGTTTTTTATTAATAATCTTCTTATTCGTTTTTTCAATGAGTCAAACCAAATTTCTTGATGGTGCTGGGAGATCAAAAAGCAGGTTATGTGGTGCCCTGACCCATCAAGACATGATAGCTGAGGCCGTCATAATCAAGAGCGAGTCTCCAGCCATCAACCTCCAAACTACAGGATTCATCCGGACATTAAAATTATTTTCAGAGTAATTTTAAGCTAATATTTTAAATTGTATCCACTATACAAAATCTTCAATCATGAAATGGTGAATTTGCTTGGCGTTATTTTTGCTTTTAAATTATATACCATTGATATGTATGGTACTATGGTACTGTCATTTCCAAAGTTAGTTTTCAAGTATTGTAGAACCTTCACCAGCTTGATAATGAAAATTGCATTTTCAAAAAGTTGCAATCCATTTAAGTATCATTTTGTAACCTGCTTTTGATCTCCCAGCGCCATCAAGAAATTTTGCTTGACTCGCTGAAAAAACAAATAAGGAGATTATTGTCAAAAAACATGCTCTGGTCAGTAACCAAACTTGCAATAAAGAAAAGATTCTGCCAAATTACACCAATTTCAACAAAATGTATATGTATCCTATCAATACCTATTTTATTTTTGACCTTGTAACTAGAAATTTCATTTGTTAATTACAGGTTTCTTGCCCTGAATCAATTATCTCTGCAATTTGAGGTTCATCCTATTGTGAATGCTGTCATTTAGAATCTGATTGTCATAAATCCACTTGTTTGTTTGGAGCTCAAGTGCATTAGACTTATAATCCAAGCATATAGTACAGAACTCCCATAATATTTCTGTTCTTAAATTTAACAGAAACTTTTAACTTTCAATTTTTAAGTAAAATGTACACTCGTAAGATAAAATAAATGCATAATAATTTTTTTACTTGAGGAATGCCAAGTAAAATGCCCTTAAATAATGTCTTGTTTACTGCCTGCATGTGTTAGTAATTTTGTTAATAACAATATACTTATTATGCTGTAGGTAATAGCTGCACTCATTACTTACATTACTTAANACATATGTTTAGCTCAATGGTCTGAAGATAAACAGTGGTAAGTTGTTGTATTAACCTGCTTACATATGTTTAGCTCAATGGTCTGAAGATAAACAGTGGTAAGTTGTTGTATTAACCTGCTTACATATGTTTAGCTCAATGGTCTGAAGATAAACAGTGGTAAGTTGTTGTATTAACCTGCTTACATATGTTTAGCTCAATGGTCTGAAGATAAACAGTGGTAAGTTGTTGTATAAACCTGCTTACATATGTTTAGCTCAATGGTCTGAAGATAAACAGGGGTAAGTTGTTATTGTTATGAGTCTTTGATATTAATCTGATTACAAATTTCATAAAAGATTATAAAAGTCTTATCATTTTCAATGTTGTTAGCTGTTTTTAAATATTTAAAAACCCTAATGACATGATGCTCTGTTCCAGAATGGTCACAATTTAAATTTTGTACAACATGGAAATTTAGCATTGACATTTAATTTCCTGTTCTGTGAAAATAATAAACCTAGATCACATCTTTATCTTACTGAATAAACTTTAATTTTATGAATTCTTGCATAAAGACCTGATAATAACAGACAGAGACATTTGATTTTATCCAAAACTTTGAGGTTTTTGTGTTTGTGTTCATTTTGAAGATCAATATTTATCAATGATGACCATGATTTATCATTAACAATTTATTGAACATTCACAGTATGATAATATAATTAGTGAAACTAATATTTAGATGCTAATGCATCTTTCTCAGCAGGCTAGAGATTCTTGTTAATGGTTCTTCAAGAGTCTTGAGTTTCATGTAGGCCATTCTAGTACAAATTGCTTTACCAGATTGACCTGCAGTAATTAACTCAATTGATATTAATATCTTTACAATTTTAGCAACAGTTGCATGTACATTTTTGGAGCTCTAAATATCTATTATGACTGTTCAGAATTTTTTACCTTTGAAAAAGTGATTGAATATTTTATTGAAAATTATACATTTTGAAGAATATTGATCACTTTACAGTTTTTTACTATTGATCTATTGAAAACTGTAAAGAAGATATCCATGTGCTATTTCCCTTGCCAACACTGTTCTTACATCACATGAGTGAGAGTTCAACTCTACCTAATAACCAAGCTCTTGAACAGGTCTTTGCAGTGAGTTATACACTTATACTGCATTATTATTTATTTAATCTATTAAACCTATGTAATCAAAAGTTTAATCTATGGGCTTGTTATGCTTTCATGTATGGAAGTTCTCTTGTTCAGTCAGCATCTATTCAATGTTTTGATAGATTATTCAGGAAAAAATATCTACCTATATTATTTAGAATATTTGCCCCAGGATTATATTATGATACCGGTAGTTCATGAGCAACATCATTGTACCTGGTATTGTGTATTGTAGCCCTAACAACTGTATTGCTGTGCAGGTACAAAGCCACAATAGATGCCATCACCAGTGATGGCATGGTGGCTCTATCATTTGAGAGTTATGATGCCAGCGACGTCACCAAAATATCCCTCCTCAGAGATCTCAGTGAAGCCTCTACTTTGTTATCTTCTCCCGTGGCTGGCAAAGGACCTCGGTGAGTAAAGCTTACTTTTAATCTTTTTAGCGCATTTTCTCATTTATGGAATAAATACACTATTGTGCGCGCCATGTCGGTCTGTCTGTCTGTCTGTCTGTCTGTTCGTCCGTGACCTCAAGTTTTCGTTGACGAGAAAGTTTTCGTTGACGCCCTCTGTCACTCACTGCAGTGAGTACTGAGTTATATTTTTTCATTCCTTCTTTTGGATTTAAATAATTGTTAGTCAATCTTGTCAGAGAAGTCCTATTTTATACCTGTGTCACTTAAAAAGCTTGTCAGACAGGAAAAATTTCTCTGCTGGCTGAAAAGTTCATAAATTTCCATGAACTTTATATGTTTCAATTCTGGTTTTTATATTTGGTATAACATTTAACTGTTTCAATGGGAACTTTTTCTATATAGGATTATAGTCTGTTTGCTGCTGTCGTCACTTGCTGGCTTGTCTGAAGCCCAAAATTTACTTTTTTCAGTTCAAATGTTTAGTGTCATTGTGGCTACATGAAAAATTACCATCATGAAAAATTACAAAGAAGAAATTTTACTGATGATTTTGACTTATTTGTATTGTCAGTTGTAGTTGTGTTGAAATTTGATTTCATAGGTTGGTTCATTTACCATCATCTTTACTGATAAAATGTTTGTGGTACATTTAACCCTCTACCGCCTGATACGAGTACGTAACCGGAGCAAGATTGTCACGCGCCCATACTTCTCAAAAAGGATACGTTCTAGTGAGCGCAAAATGACATGCACTGATGGTTGCCGCCGCGTACAACAACTTTAAAATGTTCTCTGTTGCGAACAAACGTCCTCAGGTTGCTACACTCAATAGTTTATGTATAATTGGATGTTCCTGGAGAGTGACAAACGGCAGTATAGGGTTAATAAGGATCATTTGAATGGTCAGATAATGTTGAGTGTTCATTCCTATTAACAAAACCACAAGAAAAGTGGAAAAACTCAAAACAACAATGCACTCTCAATTCATTTGGCATTCAATTATTTGTTGCTAAACCTAACTTCTTATTTTTGTGATCAATTAACTGTGCTAATTGTGAACAAAGCAAAGCCTTTCATAGTCTTTGCTGACTGGTTGAAATTAGCTGGTGGCAAGCAGATCAAAATATCAGTGCAGCTAACAGCTCAGATCTCTCATTATTATATCTTCAGCAAAATTCTCATAAATACATTTAATTCATTAACCTGTTAGTATTGTAGTAAATTCTTCTTTACTTGATTTAAATGACATGTTGATAACCAAGGTAGAGGCCTTCTTTGTTTCTCTAGGGAAGCAAAGCGGCCTAGTTTTGGGTAAATCCATATGAGCCTCGCCACCCATGCCGCTCCTGCGTGGTGAGTCTGTTACTGTCAACAGCTGTAGGTATCATGTAGAGCAGGTCTTGTATTGTGTGATGTTTTAGCTGTAGGTATCATGTAGGGCAGGTCTTGTTTTGTGTGATGTTTTAGCTGTAGGTATCATGTAGAGCAGGTCTTGTATTGTGTGATGTTTTAGCTGTAGGTATCATGTAGAGCAGGTTATATAGATATTGCCTGCAATGTTTTCCTGTCAGCTGTGGAGGCTGTCAGCCAGCGAGTCTCGCTGGTATACGCAACTGTCTAGAGTTTATTCTTGATTTTAATTGCAGTCGAACGCCACAACTACGGCCCTAATTTCCTTACTCTCGTCTCAATTGTGTGCCACAATACTGAAGGTTACACCTCTAAAGATATGATAGGTTGTAGTACACTATTAAACACTGTTGAACTCTTTCAAATAGTGTTCTATAGTGTTCAATAGAAAGTTGAGCACTATTGAACACTTTCAAATAGTGTTCAATAGTGTTTAATAGAGTTCTATAGCCACTATTGAACACTTGGTCTCTCCACGTTACGCTTGACTCGTGTGTTCAGAACTTATATATGTTTTTCTTGTGCCTTCCCTGGCCTATAGCGGGCTATGAATCGTGTCGTGTACTACTGTACTGTTGTACAGTTTTCTTGGTTCCTTGAAGTCTGGGCGTGATCTAGTGAGGCAATGTTTCGCCTTCTTTTCTCAAAATATGTGTCCTTTTTCCTCCGTAAGTGCGTACATCTCTCCCAAAGATTGTCTGGGAAAAAAGTATTGACAAAGGCATGCAGGAATAATTTCTTTATTTGTAAGTAATTCCGAAATTTGTGTACAGGAAACGGCAGGTCGTGGAAGCGCAGCGCGTGCAAATGAAGAAGAAGAAACAAAAGAAGTTCGACCGCCAGAAGCAAATCGATGAAGCGCACGAAGAGGACAAACAGAAATGGCAGCAGTTCACGACTAAAGTAAGTTCACTATGATACCATGTTATCTATGAAGTCCCTCGCTCATATCATTTTTCATAATAATGCTCATATCATTTTTCATAATAATGCTCATATCATTTTTTTATTTCATATCATTTGTTCATATCAGTCCTTTGTTAATATCAGTTTTGCTACACGTCTTAGCAGAAATATAAAAAAAGCATCTCAATTTGCTAGATGTTAATTTTTTATTATGGATCTAATCCTCGTCTCATTTTGAAGATTTTGTACGTTGTGTGCTTTTAATTTTCTATAATGGATCTAATCCTCATTTATAACACTTCGTACGATGTTTGCAGAGCAAGAAGCTAAAAGGCGTCACCAAGAAAAGCATCTTTGCGACGCCGGAGACGGCCTCCGGTCGCGTGGGCATTGGCACTTGCGGCATCAGCGGCCGCCCCATGACGGACTACACGCAGGCAGAGAAGAGGAAGCGTGGGGCCTAGGGCTGTAGTGTGCCTAGAACTCGTGTCTTTGACCGTCTATTATGACTGTACTAATTGTAACTCATGTCTTCGGCCGCCTATTATGACTGTAATGAATGTTAACTGTAAATAATTGTGGCATCAGCGGCCGCCCCATGACAGACTACACGCAGGCAGAGAAGAGGAAGCGCGGCGCCTAGGGCTTAGAACTCATGTCTTCGGCCGTCTATTATAATTATAATGAAGGTCAACTGTAAATAATTCATTTGTCCTTGAAGTCAATTGCAGGAAATATGGCTGCAGGATTGCAGGAAGCGCGGTGCCTAGGGCTGTAGTGTGCATAGAACTCGTGTCTTCGGCCGTCTAGTATAACTATAATGAATGTTAATTGTAAATAATTCATTTGTCCTTGAAGTTAATTGTGTCAGAAGTGCTGCTCAGGACCCTGTTGTTTCTAGGTTCTGCAAGAAGGGCCCAGCTACACGACAGCTTGCGTGAGGCCAACTCAACGCATTGAGGGTGTGGGGCTGGCCTCTCATATAGAGTTGGTGGGGCCAGCTTATTGTGTTGAGTTGGCGGGCCAGCTTATTGTGTTGAGTTGGTGGGGCCAGCTTATTGTATTGAGTTGGAGGGGCCAGCTTATTGTATTGAGATGGAGGGGCCAGCTTATTGTATTGAGTTGGTGGGGCCAGCTTATTGTATTAGTCAATGTGCTACAAAACGGCTCTTTTGTTTTCCTTTATCTTACTAAATGCTGAAGACGTTGAATAATTATTCATTGCCTGTGAATGACAGTGTATCTTTAAAATGTAATTTATTAATTCTCCACCACAAGATCGATCTAAAAAGAAAATGAATGAGAAGCAAGCAAGGTTTGTGAAAGAGACAGGCTTGCATGGCTATCAATTTATTTATTTCAGTATATGGTGTTGTTTTCTATTCGTGTAATTTGATGCTATGTTGGGAAATGAGTGTTTTTCCTTCTTTAATTTAATTCAATTAATTTTTCTCCATTTGGTTTTCACGTGAAGCGGTTTTCGCTCCATAAGTTTCTTGAATGAATGACTTGATGAGAAGCAAAAATATTTACGTTGAAATACAACCACAATAAACGCCGAGTGAGATTCTCTGCCTTCAATACCGGCAACAAGGGAGATTCTCTGCCTTCAATACCGGCAACAAGGGAGATTCTCTGCCTTCAATACCGGCAACAAGGGAGATTCTCTGCCTTCAATACCGGCAACAAGGGAGATTCTCTGCCTTCAATACCGGCAACAAGGGAGATTCTCTGCCGTTTTTGCAACCTCAACAAAATTTGTTTGCCTCCGTGTGAAAAATATCCCCGCCGATGTAATTTTTTTTGTCAGACTCGTACGTTTCACTGCATGTGACTTCAATTGTGTGTTGTCGTTTCATAATGGAGGAGATTTGGTTATATTCGCCATTGTAGATGAGTTATAATAACTGAATAGCAATTCATATTATATCTGTATAGAGCTGAATGTGCCTGTGTTTATTTTTGATCTGTTGAAAATTTCAGGAAGTTTTCGAGTCCTTTTTGTGTGTGACGGCCGTTACATTCAATATTGATGTACCATTATTCAATTCTCTTTTCGGTGTCAGTCACTCAGTAACAAGAGTTCATTTCCTGAAATTGCTAGGCCTGAATCAGACTTTCATGGTATAGAGGTTTTCAGGGAAGTATTTCATTTTAAAAGATGCTCAACTGAAGATGGTTTGATGGTTTCTAACCATCATCCGCGGTGAAGGTTGCAGCCCTGCAGCTGTAATGTAGATCATTTGTACAGTAGCCTTAGGATTCTCCTGCTTATCAAGAACCCTAATAACGCTCTCTCTATTAATGATAGCTAAACCCTCCTCTCTTCTCACTATAAAACCTGCCTCGGAAAATCATATCTTGCTGTATTAATAGTTATTTCTTAGTTTCCATCTTGATTACTTTATGATTATGCTAATTCATTTAGACGTTATGGGCCTGTCCCTCTGTACATATGATGGTAAAATAAGCAGCTGATATTTTCATTCATTGTGTTTTTGAACATTTACCTATAATTATTTACTTACGATGAACTGACGAACGCGTTCTCGATGAACAAATTTCTCTTGGATAATAACTTGTCCAACAATCGTTTATTGTCGAGAAGAACTACGCCACTGCATTTAAAATAATTTTTTGATCGTTTCTGCGATTATTTCTGCCGATCGCTAATTATTGTGCCAAAATTATGACTCTTACAGAACTTATGATGGGGCGTTTTTGATCTATGTTTTGGCCTCTAAAAGAAGTAATGTAATTGAGATGAATTATCCCGCGTAGAAATGATGCAAAACTCTAATACTAATATTAGTACTTGAAAATTATTGATAATTTATGACAGTAACTTTTTGTTCGTATGCAGCTTGTGGTTTTTTCTGAATCTCAATTGCTTCAAATTAGTCATATTTAACATCTTGACACCGATTGCTTCATCTTTTATTATGTTTTTATTTTTTGTACTATTATGAAAAAGGTTATCAGACAGTCCTTTTTTTCCGGACAAATTCTGCGATTTAGTTTTTTCAATTGCTTTGACCGGCTAACATCCGAAGAATTAGGGGTACATCCTAATTAAATTAAAAAAAGGAAATGGAATTTTTACACCTGAACTTACAAATATACTAGTATATATTGAATTATAGACCTTTATTTTTTTGCCTATTTTGTTCGGGGACTTGACCGTTTTTAGCGCATTTTCTCATTTATGGAAAAAATGCACTATTGTGCTCGCCATGTCCGTCCGTCCGTGACCTCAAGTTTTAATCGACGAGAAAATTCGCGCTGTCACTCACTGCAGTGAGTACTGAGTTATATTTTTTAGGCCATCAGGCAACCCTGAATTATGTACCACCACGTCCTGGAGAAATGCATTTCGTGGTACGCATACGAGTATGTACCACTTAGGAGTCAACGTGTTAAGGTCATTTTGGAGTTCAGGGGCCATACTTTCAGAAATCGCTAAGTGAACGTAAGTACTTACGCTCTATTTTCTTGTCTATGATTGGTGGGTTTTGCTTGAAAGGCCGTCAATAATTTTCTTATGAACTTACGATCTCTTAACTTTTTATATAAGTCCTGAATACCCATTTTACGCACTGTGTTCATCTCGAGAGAAGTGGCGGCCTGCAGGGTTGCGGTGGAAATGAGCAATTAAAGTCTCGAGAGAAATTTTATTCATTTATTCATGCATCATTCATACAGAAACCTACAGTACACAGACTGCGTCTTGCGTTCACGTCCTAACTAATCTAAAGTCTCAGATGCGACGCACTGGCGGGCGGCGACAGAACATTTGTAAACTCTGCTTTGCATAGCGAAGTATGTCATCGTTCCTTCGCAGCTAAGTCTAACATTTTACACTTCCACTTGAACGTGATCAATAAACTCTAGAATATGTTGCAGCAATATTACAATGTGTATCACTTAGCAGCATCATATGTATTCACTTATCTTAAACCTAAACACTTGCTCCATGATACACTTGTTGAAATTTGTAGGAGCGAAAGTCTCGTAAGTTTACTATGGAAAAATCAATACAAGCAACGATTTAGTATGGACCTTTTGAGAGGAGCATTTCTGCATGTTGTACCCACGAGACAACCAGCGAACCTGCATCAACATCATAAAAACATAATAATCATGATTATCAGAAAACGAAAATCGTCGGTCGAGCGAACATCCGTTGCATAGAGAAGTAAGACGAAATTATGTACGCTTCCGAACTGATAGGTATTTAAATATTGGATTATCGATGTTCGTGTCAACAGTGGAGTTTTTCAACTTTTATCTTCGAAATTAGAAAAGCGGCACTAAAGACTTCAATTTGATGTACTAAAATCAACAGGTTTTTACTGGAATGTTGAATTGCCGCCGATGACTTACTTCTTGAACCCGAGTGTAAGCTCGAGTGAAGCTGAACGCCTCCTGGGCAATTATTATTCAAATTAATCATAAAGCCATAAGGTTTACAGGACGTACAGTAACAGAGTAGAGAAACTCCACGCATAAAATATGACAAACATGTAACAATAAAAGCGCAAGTTGAATTTACAGGCGTTCGTCAAGACTATTCAACTGTCATTGTAAGAGTGAATTTGTAAAAATAATATTAGAGAAATCGTTGCTGAGAGCAAAATATATTAGATTTGTACATCATATATTTTTACAGCAAGAACAATAGTGAATGTTGAATGTATAATTACACAATTTATTGATGTGATGGGAACCTGCACAAGCAGGTAACACAACACAGACTACCGCGAGTCTACCATCATAGGTAGAAAGTTCTACTTGCATCATCGCACACACTTGTCTACTCGAGCTATTTACTCTACTCATCTCGCGCACGAAGGAAATTATCACATGATCGTCTTCCTAATCTGTCATTAAAAACCTCTTCGCTTCTAAAACTTTTTACAATAATCTGAAAAATAAAATTGCTGACACAAGCTTTGTGAGAGGGGAAACCAGGGGCTATCTAAAGCAAGGCAGAAACTTCTAGTACAAGAACGATGGTCGTTTCTAGTTGATCAACTGCTAGGTTATTTACAACAAGCGATGTGGTAGATGTGCTTGGTCACGGTATGTACTTGCAGCTTGAGCCAGAGTTTCTATAAGAAAGACAGTAATTGGTAAAAAATAGCTTTTTTTGATACTGACAAGCACTGATCAAGGCAGGGGAACACTGCGCACCCTTCTACTTAGTTCTACTTCTCTCACCCTAGTAGACGCCCGTCTACGAGGACATGTCTACTACTCTGACCCCAGTAGACGCCCGTCTACGAGGTCAGGTCTCCTGCCCTCACCCCAGTAGACGCTTGTCTACTGGGACATGTTGTTTTGAATTTAATAACACATTACTTAGTGTAGATAAAAACAGAAAACTCGGCGTTTTCGTTTAGGCCGTTCACAGAAGCTTTACAGTGATGTTATAAAGCAATACAACGGAGGCTGTAAACATAAAACAAAAACAAAGTCGATAAAAATTTCCAGAATAACACTGCTTTTCCAAAACCTTAGACTTTACCGAGTAGGATTTGAAATTTTGAACCTGAAAGTTCCATGGCAAGCGAATTGGGCGGCACTTCGCTTTTTTTCAACTCCGAGGCGAGCGCCGTGCATATGCATCGCTACAGTCACATTGTAACGAAGTGTTACGTTGTTCATGACGGAACTTATGAAACAGCAACTATT